GGTATCTCGTTACCGTTTCGCTACAACGGCCACACGCTTCCGTATTTAGATGAGACTTTCTCGAAGCGATCGGATGGACACAGTTAACGATTTTGAAAAATTCGTGGTGTTCAGTGGATGGTCGCGGATATTTGAATATTTTGCTCAATTTTAAACGATTTAAAGTTCTTTTTCTGAAATTCCTTAAAATACTTTTCTAATATTCCTTAAACCTAATGGCCATTTTTGGGACACCTTAATCCTTTCCCACGTAACTCTAACATAATTCCTAACAAGATTTCAATTCGAATCGTCTCCATCATACACGAGTCAAAGTGCAGTACTGCTGTTTAATTAGCATCGGTATCGAAAATTTGAAAAATTGATCGATACGTTCGAAACGAGAGATCAATTTCTCTTCTGACGATGAATTAATAATTATCGCTCCGAAAATGAAAATTATATTGATGCTTTCTTAATTGTTTAACCATTTTTGATGATTTATTGCGACAGACCGCAATACATTGTGGCTGAAAAGTTTACCAACGATGATGTCGTTGGTGAATCATATTAATGTCAAGGTTTGTGTTTTCGGTGACACAGTTTCCATGAACCGATAGCGATCAGTAATCCAATAAAAAACGCTACACTCTTTTTTGCGGACCCTTTAATATCAATTAACTCGATTGCCGTAGCTTGCCACCCCCACGCGTTTTGATTTCCATCTTTCCCTTAATATAGTTAGCGTTTCGCTGCCAACTGGTTAACGGGGTGAGTTTTCAGTTGCGAAAACCCACAAGGGCGTAACACGTCGGCAAAATTAATACGACACAGAAAAATACGACAGTCATTAATTAAATAAATAAAACAACAAAATGTTACTAAAAACTGCGATTGAACACGAAAATTAATTCGTGTTTACCAATTAACGGATCAACCCCGTACGTGTTGAAATAAATATATACATTTCTACGGTTCAGTACCTTTAACTTGGGCACTCAAAATGGCACTACCTTTACTATACATATTTTTTAAACAATTGCTACACAAATACACAGATAACAGTCCTTCGATTTAAATTAAGTCGAATTCTAAAAGAAACTTCCATCATATTCACCTGACAACATTTCAATGAAAATGGCACAACGCTAGAACTACCGAACAGTCAAACTTTTGACATTTTTCTATAGAAACTCCAACAGTGCTACTATTGACATTCCTATTGTTTTACAATTCAGTTTTCCTATTGCCGAATCAATTTCTGTAATTCCCCAGAGAACCATCCATTACAATGCTATCAATAATTATTCAAGAAGCAATCAGAGTCATTTCGACCTCTGGCAATTCCAGCGTTAAAGTACCATCCGAACACAAAGAGTGAACGTCCTCTCCAACGTTTCATTCGTCGAATTCGCTACTTTTCCTCCCTTCTATCCCGTTAAAAGTGGCCATTTACTTTCCAGCTGCAAAACGGGGGAAAAAAGAGAACGAAAAAGGACTCACATTTTGTTCAGGCTCCCAACGTGGTCCACGTGGCCTTGGTAATGGTCGAGGAGACACGAGGGGTGTCACAGCTATCCCCCGCGGTGTCTTCGAACTCTGAAGAGCGTCTCAGATGCCCGAGCGAATTGTACGCGAGGCGGTCGTTCACGGGGGAAAAACCGTCGGCGGTATTGTAACGCGCGCGCGGTTAACCGACCCGACGGGTCCGGGGGGAAAAAATCACCGGTACTCTCGCGTGTTTCCCTTTGACAGGGGAAATAACGGGTCACACTTATTATCCGTCGTCGAACCTCCACTCGATGCAGTCTCCTCGGGAAACTGGCTTCAACTGCCGCACATTATCCCCGACACGTCGCCGTGCGCCACGCAAACGGTCCCGACCGCGACGCGATCGTCTTCGAGGAGCCCGCCGTCAGCTCCTTACACGCTCCTCAAGTCCGACTGGCAATCCGCGGCAACAAACCGGGTGAACTTATCGCCGTACACGTACTGACAATTCGTATCGGCCGACCCACCAACCGCGACCGTCGCTGTCAGATCCGACGCCGTTGCCATCTACCGGCGTCATCCCGTTCTACGTGTAGCCGACCAACGGCAGCGACGAAAAGTCCCTAGGCGCTCGCCGGATTTTCGACAGTCATCGTGTAATTGCTACTGCGGCCAGGTGCAATTCATCGGATGAAGAATGAATCTGGAATCTCGTTGGAGGGAATCGAAGTTCCATGTGTCCTTTGAAGTTTAGCAGTAAACTGATGAATGATTCTGTCATTTAGCTACTTATGCTTTTGCTTTATTTTTGTAGGTATTGTATGGTTTTCTGTATTTAATTCAGATATGTAGAATTTAAAGTTTATAAGCTCTTTAGGCTATTTCCCCTCAGAGAATCGTGCTCTCCATACTTTCACCTGTCGTTGGACAGTATATAGAGCTAGTACATACTAACTCCTAGGATAGTATGAAGACCGATGATCGGAGTCACTAGCTAGAGAGGCATACACCACTGAATTCGTTCTAATTTCTATAAGAAATTCCATTCTGCGTTACAAGTAAAAGCGACGTTATCACCATTATTATTAATAGATGCTTCGACACGGTAGATCATTGGGAGCAAGATCCTTATCGGTTTATCATTCCGGTAGTGTAAGGAAATATTTGAAAGAGTCGGTAGGTGGGGAATCACGGGAGCCTAGGGAGAGTTAAGCGCAGCAGTAGCTCCACCATCGGTAGCAGCAGCACCACTATCGTTTCGTTGGGAGCTCCGTCATCGGTAGCCAGCGAAAGAACGAGGTCTTCCGTTCCGGCATAATAGTCGTGCAAGTTGGCAGTCGCGTGGCTGTGTGCTATCGTTTTCGTTCCGATTCCGTGCAGTCGTTCCCGTGGCAAAAGACGTCCACGAACGGTTTCGCGTTGCGGCAGGTTCAGTGGCTTGTGTTCGGACCCGTTCAGCATTTCCAGCTAACATGAATGAAGAATACGACGCGATCGTGCTGGGCACCGGGCTCAAGGAGTGCATACTTTCGGGTATGCTGTCGGTCAGCGGAAAGAAAGTGCTCCACGTAGACCGCAACAAGTACTACGGCGGCGAGTCCGCCTCCATTACGCCGCTGGAGGATTTGTTCGCGTAAGTCCCGTGAATCCGCGACGCGTCGCCGTCCCACCGACCGACCTGTTTCATTTTAAGGCCGAATCGCAACTACCACCGGTCGGCCAGCCGTTATCTCCGTAACGCGGGTTTGATCGTCGACGTGCACCGTCGGACGCACAATGACTCTCGTCTTAAATATTGATTTTTTCTCCGTCACGGTTTCTTTTCTCGCGGGGATACCATTGCGTCGTTCGCGTTCGAGTTTCTCCGTCGAGCGTATCGCTAGACGAAGCGTGACGTATACCGTCATCCGCAATAATGCGTCGTTGCCGTGCGGCTGCCACCCAAGCATTCAACCCTGCCTCTCGCGATCGACGGTTTTCAATTGTTTTTTCCGTTCTATGACGCACAGCAACTCTCGCGTTTTCCGCTTTGAACGCTCGCTACCAGCGCGAGTTTCCGTGACGGTCTCGATTACATTTCCTTCGATCCGATAAGTCTAAACAAAATAGAATGAAACTGTAACGAGTTATCGAGTTTCTGAGTCTAATGTAGTTTATAATTTCTAATAACAATATTCATGGGATACTTCATTTTCATTATGTAAAATATAGGGTTACAGCCGTTAATGTGACGCGAACGTGTTAGGGCAATATTCGTGGAATAAATGGGATGCATGAATTTGGGAATCGTGCTCGCGTAGTGATCGATCGTCCTCATGGAGACCGATCGCGATCACATCCGTTACGCTTTGCGGATAGATTTTGTAACGACCGAAAGGTGTATACCAGACGTACCGAGCGTTTCTTTCTGTCTCCGTGACCCATTTTATTTTCGATTGTGACCCACTGAAAGGTCGCGAGCGACACTTTAAAAAACCCTGTACCAAATGATCCCCGAAGGTTGGCTAGATTGCCACTCGATACGAACCTGGGGGAGGGGCCCGCCCCGCGAAACGCACGCTCGATCGAACGTGGCAAAATCGGCGGCCTGCAGCATTTTCTCTCGCTGCACGAGAGGATCGTGCGGTCTTTTCTCTTCGACGCTAGAACTACCAACTTCAACTGACTTTTCCAAATTTCTTCATAAAACTTCGAACTGTGTATATATATATTCAATCGGTTTATATTTTAATGTAGGCATTGCTAAATCAGCTTTAACGATTTCTCAAAGCATCTGTACCTTCTCGGTAATTCTATAAAAATAAATTTTATAGAAATTTTATAGATCAGGAATGGGTCATTTTGCCCTATCTGGTAGTTCTAGTGTTAATGAATATTTCTCTCGCGTATCTCAGCGCATCCTCGCCTTTCCCATTCCCAGGATTATTCCATCAGATACAAATCCATCGAATCATCCAACGCCGAAATTGCCGAGTAAATCACCACTATTGGTTTACCGTTCTTTTTTTATGAATTATAAGAATGCGTGTTTCGAATTCATTACTTTTATTGACGAGCGTGTCAGAATATGATCGAGCGTATGGCAAGACTTACAATTACATTTGTTCACGCTTGGTAGGTTACAAAGAGAAAATATTGAGTTACAGAATGTTGAGCGCACCGTTACCTGTATACACGCCATCCTTAATCTACTTTCTATAGAATTGAGCATATGGTCCCCTATGTATATAGATTCAGCGTTGTGGAAGTAATTTCTTTTCTCTGGTGGTCATCGTTCTTCACTGGACAAATATTCTGTGAACTGTCAAATATTCTGCGGTATCTTCCATGCAGATTACAATCATCATTAGCAGTAATAATAATAATAATAATGTAGCTACAGTATACGATAAAAAACGCATAGTTTAAAGAATAATAGAATAAAAGTAATATACAGTATAATTGAAAGAGGATCGGAATAGATACAGATTAATTAATAATTGAACGAAATAAAATGCTAGACAATGTAGCGTGAAAGGGCGAGGTTCAACGGGTAAGTGCCGTTATTAAACTGAACTCTCGGACACAGTTCGATAATGATTGTAGAAGAGGAAGCTGCGAAAATATTCCGTTTGCGGCAGTAGTTAGTCGAATGAAAAAAACAAAGGCGATAACGTGTTCGACTGATTAGACTTCTGGCTCATCGGAGTGGCAATTTATCGAGTGTCCGGCTGTACCCAATAAATGGTAACGCGCATCTCAACTATGCGTCTGGTATAACTGTAACCGTTGCCGCACGACCGTATTGCGCTCGCGTATATATATATATATATATATTCGCCGTGGAGAGAAAAAAAAGCGCTCAAAGTCAGCGAGAAAGTAAAGGGAAAACACGATCGGTGGCTGTAATAATGAATAATAAAATTTTACCGGCCACTCGGACGAAAGTACTCGAGTTTCCCTTGGTCGTGGACGAACGAAAAGTTCCTCTGGTCTTCGTAACTTTTTCGCGGAATATTTTTATCCGGTTAAACGCTTCGACCGATGGAAATCGATGAGAACTCTTCTATCGGGCAATGTAAACATACAGACCTGAAATACAACGAATACTTGGATTTCAAATTGCCAATCCCTGGGCGGAACTATTCGCTTGATAATAATAACAATTTTTAGAAGAGATTACTTTATTATACGGCTGGGTTCGCCGTGATTGAGGATTATACGGTAGCAGAGGTTCTCAATTGGATCCTTAACGGTTCTCTAGTACTCGATCTAGATGTTATTGCATAATTCTTACAAATGGCTAACTAACCCTTGGCACTCCAGGTTGTTTTGTAACCTATCAGCAACTAATTTTTATAGTATTCCTAGCGAAAATGAGAAATATAACATTCCTTCGATCTTTTATTTTCCTTAGTGCAAAATTTGGATGTATGGAAAATCGAATAATTTTAGGGTAGTTTCTTTGATTCATTGAAATATTCAATATTATAACTGGTGTAGTATTGGAGCCTACAGATTCTTATTAATATTGTATTGAAATATAATAGAACACCGTGTTCAGTCTTGGAAAGGTAGAACTTATAAAATCACTTCGTTTTGGATACTTTCTGCTAATATATATTATTACAGATCGTTATCCGAATGGTCGTGTTCAAAGGTAATTAATAGAATGTTTAAAAGATCTGCATTTGAACAAGTTACGAGCGTGAAGGAACGGTAACGAGAAGAAAATCTGAATTCTTATCGTTAATTGTAGTTTATCGTGTTATCTAGAAAATTCAAGGCTCCGCCACCGGATGAGAGCTACGGCCGCGGTCGCGACTGGAACGTTGATTTAATTCCCAAGTTCCTGATGGCGAACGGCTTGCTGGTGAAACTACTGATTCATACCGGCGTAACGCGGTATCTGGAGTTCAAATGCGTCGAGGGATCGTACGTCTACAAGTCCGGGAAGATTTCGAAGGTGCCGATCGATCAACAGGAAGCGCTGTCCAGCGATCTGATGGGCCTTTTCGAGAAGAGGCGCTTCCGCAGCTTCCTAATATGGGTGCAAAATATGCAGGAGGACAAGCCCGAAACATGGGACGGCTTCGACCCGTTGAACAGTCCCATGAGCGCGCTGTACAACAGGTTCAGCCTGGACAAAAATACTCAAGACTTCACTGGTCACGCATTAGCACTTTATAGGTACGGAACAGTTATGTACATCACCTTACAAGGAGACTGAACGTTAGCTTCTTTTGGGGATGATCTATGAAACATATAATTACTTTTATACATTCTCTGTACAAATGAGCTGTGTGTCTTTAATTGAGATATCTTGTCGTTTCAGAGATGATGAATACTTAAGCCAACCTGCAATTACTACTATAAGAAGAATTAAATTGTACAGCGATAGTTTAGCGCGTTACGGAAAATCACCGTACCTCTATCCCATGTACGGGCTGGGCGAGCTTCCTCAAGGTTTCGCCCGACTTAGCGCCATTTATGGTGGAACGTATATGCTGGACAAGCCGATCGACGAAATTGTCGTGAAAGATGGAAAGGTGAGGATAGATGATGATAATTGTATAGTGTAATGATAGATGGAGTGAATGTGGAATGGTTAATTATGATTGGGTTTGTTGTAGGTTGTCGGTGTACGTTCCGGGGACGAAGTAGCTCAATGCAAACAGGTGTTTTGTGATCCTACATACGTACCTGATCGCGTTAAAAAAGTGGGTCGCGTCATAAGATGCATTTGCCTCTTAGACCATCCTATTCAGGGCACAGGAGATGCTCTCTCAACGCAAATAATTATTCCCCAGAAACAAGTGAGTAGATTAATGATTTGATTATATGGTATTTTGATGGGATAATGGAGATGGGAAAGATAAATGTATTTTTGTTTCACAGGTTAACCGTAATTCAGATATCTACGTGTCTTTAGTATCACATACTCATCAAGTAGCGGCGAAAGGATGGTTCATAGCTATGGTGTCCACCACAGTTGAAACGAAAAATCCAGAAGCTGAGATTAAACCCGGTTTGGATTTGCTTGGCCCGATCAGACAAAAGTTCATATCAGTATCCGATTACATGGAGCCGGTCGATGACGGGCTGAATAGTCAAATTTTCATATCGACGAGTTATGACGCCACAACGCATTTTGAAACAACCTGTTTAGATGTTCTTGATATATTTAAGCGAGCCACTGGGGAGGAATTCGACTTTAAAAAAGTGAAACAAGACCTAGGCGACGAGGACCAGTAATCGTAAGATAATTACCGCTGCTGGTCATTCGAAAAACTAGTTCATCCTGAATTTAAAGAAAAAAAAAAAGAAAATAAAACGAGTGAGCAACGTAATTTAATGCGTATTTTCCCGACCGCGTCGGTGTTCATTCGAGTCCCAAAGCAGATACGATCTGCTCAGGGCTCACGCCTAATAATTCTAGATTCTCTTTCGCGGAGAATTACCAAGGGCAGAAAAAAGGAAACATTCGAAATTTATCTTTAAGTTTATCCAAATATCATTCTACGTACTATCCTTGTTACATTTTGTCTGAAACACGCGGATACGACTTCTTTCGAAAAAGGTCGATGATGAGAAAAACCTGTACCGTTTGTGATTTTAATATTTTCGATACATTCTGAATGGAGAGCAAAATAAAATTTATAGGACGATTCGTATTGTCTCCATGCATTTACCACCACCAGTGCGTTTTTAGAGTAAACATAATAGCGACGATTGCCACGACTTCATAAATATATCATATTTTAACTATCAAACGAAAGAATATAGAGATTACCGTTCATCGAAATTGTAAACGCTAAAGAATCCTATAGATGTACTGTTACTCGCGGCCATCGAAATGCATTATGATGTAAGGTACAAGACGAAGCTAATTTAAAAGAGAATCAAGGTAAATCTGCACGCGGATATTGAGAAATAGTGTGACGATGCCACGTCTAGTAATAGAAGCTATATCATATTCCTGCACATTTAGTTCCGGTATTATTTGAAACTTCAACTATGTACAATGAAACAGAAATGCAAACTGATGAAAGCATGATCTAAAGTACTCACAACGGACAGTTACCTGTAACGGAAAAGATTTACAAGAGAGAATCTGTATCGAAATATTAGGAGAAGAAAAGAAAAATTGAAAAAGCGGCCAAGCGTATAAATATAAATTAAATAGATATATGTATATTCTTTCTCGTTCTCAACTATTACAAGAATGAGAGTATAGAGAAGATGGAATCGTTGAAACGTTGTTATTTTATGTGAGCTTAAGAACCAGAATATTTCCTTCTCCTGTATTTATGATCATTATCAGCTAAGAGGGAGTATCGATGAATTGAAAGAAGATAACTATACACGAATATGCATTGTTTTTAGAAGTGCTATGCGTGTGCATTAATGTATGCGTGAATGTTTTGTTACTGAGTGATTGGCTGTTTCTCAGATTTTTTTATTTGCTTGCATTCTTGCTTAAAATATAAGCGCACCGCAAATTCGTATCATGTACGAAATTCATTGGAGGTTGGCTACATGTTCCGCCATTACTTTATCTAAAGTGTTACTCACGTAACTGTAATGTGACAGTCAAAAAAAATAAACGGTATTGTATTAATTTCATTAGTTTGTATTCCAAACTTTTTCTGTCACATATAAAAACAACAAATTCATTTACAACAACAAGAAGAAGCAGTAAATACGTTCAATTGTCTGTAAGTTTTAATACATAAACATTATTGTCCCGACATCCAATCACTACCACGTCATTGTGAACAACTGGCGATGAAAAAACTTCACCAGGAAGCTTCTCAGTTTTTGTTAATCTGTTTGTTGTAAAGTCATAAATATATAAAGTACCATCTGTACATGCTATAAATAAAATATTGTCCTCCCACCAGGGAGTAGCAAAAACTGGTGACTCGAGGTACAATATAAACTTTAAGATAGGTTCGTTTTCAAATCTTCCGTTTGTTGATTCGAAACAATACACATTTTTGTCTTGACTAGCTAAGATAATAATTTCGCGTCCTGTGAGTATATCATTTTGCTTCACGATATAGGAAAACACGTTTCCATTTACTTTGTACTGCCACATCTAAAAATTATAAAACAGAATCAGGGTAAATTCGGCTGAAAAATATGAGTATTTGATACCTTAGCATTAACTGTGATGTCAAAACATGTTAATGTTCCTGTTACAGAGCAAAATAAGACAAGCCCATTGTTTAACGTTATTGGTGCAATGAAAATGGGATCTGTTAATTTATGTTCCCACATTAATTTTCCTGATGATTGTTCCAATGCCAAACAGGAACCATCTAATGCTCCAAATAGTACACAATTTGATGATGAATGTAGGCAACCGGAAGCACTAATACGTCCGTTGCTAGTCTTGTGTTTCCAAATTTCAGATCCATCCTAAATTGAATTTATTTTAATTAATTTGATGGAATTTAATACAAACCAAATAGGTTTGCGTACACGTTTATATACCTTCGCGGAAAGACAGTATATATAACAATCGTAAGAACCAACAAATATATTTTGTTGTGCTTTACAAAATATTGCTGAACATTTTACGATATCCCCTGTTTGATATTTCCAGAAAACTTTTCCCGATTTTAAATCGAAGCAATACACGTTACCATCGTGGCATCCTATGAAAAGAATTGGTAATTATGAAAGAAATATATCGCGTATTAAATAAAAAACTTACCCACAATGCCCTTAAAATCATCTAGTATTAGAACTGATGCTTCAATTCTATTAGGTAGTTGTACTACAAACGCAGAAAAACAACTTTCCGTATCTAGTAGAAATGTAATTATTAACCCGGAATGTGAACCGACTGTTACATACGTCCTTCCACTGAATAAATTTTGAATAATTAAGACAAAAAGCCACGGTTAATACAGCTTGTTACATTTGCACTTACTTTGAGTAATGAAATACAGTTGGCGATGCGTCTATGCATTTGCGTAAATCATACATTTTCAATATTTCTATTTTAGAAATAGTTTTATATTGTAGCTTAGATGCGTCGTTTACAGTCACAGTACTATTACTTAATTGTCCTCTGCATTTATGCCACTGGTACGTACAAACTTGATTTTCCATATTTACTGTTTCAGAATTTAGATTTTTTGTATCAGATTCAGTTGATAATGATTGATCTTTTATAATAGTATGAGTTAAAGGTATTATTTGATTGTTATCGGAAGCATATTGAAACAAAGTGGCTGGTGAATCATTGGAATTGCTCAATAGAGTGTCCTTGATATAAGTGAAACATTCATCAATGGTAGCGTCATTTAAAAGCATACCAATTAATTCAGGAAATTCCTTATTTACTTCCTTAGATATAGTATTTGATATGTGCAATGCTATTATAGATGTACCACCTAATTTCACGAACCCATTGTTTTCACATTTTAAGTTACTTGTCCAGACAGACTTAAAAATTTGTTCAACAGTTTGGATATCAATATTGTTTGTGACTGTATTTATCATTTTCTCTTTTATATATTTCTTTAAATTATTTATAGAAATTTTTCCACTTGAGGTAAGCTCAAAGTGATCTAAGAAAAAAATGTTATCTGGTCTGCATAAGGGATGTAATTTTTGTAAGTGTTCCATTATAACTACATTTATATTTTGTTCATTCGTTACTTCTTCCTTAGCAGTTATACATAAATACAGTTTGTGGCAGGTCTCATCCCATAATACATAACAATTTTTAACAAAATCTAATTGTAATGCCAATTTCTCAAGATCTGTTAGATTTATTTTATTTCCAAATCGTTTAACGATACTATTACTCCTTCCTTTATAAAATATCCTGTCTTCTTCATCAATCTGGAATAGAACCCTTCTTTTTATTATATGAAATAAAGAGTATTATTTAATATTATATATGCTTACATAAACTGTGTCACCACTATCACGAAATATTGGTAGTTCTAAATCTGCAACATTTTCATCATCTATTTCACAGATCCTGCTATTACTCCCTATATGAAAATATATGAAATTTAAATATTTTTTACACTATCTTTATATTGTGTAAAAAAATATATAATAACTACCTATATAGAGAATGCCTGTACCATTTGTTACTATGTCTCCTTTTTCATTTCTAACTTGAAAGATAGTTTCTGATAGTACTTGTCCTAGATAATGTATGTCACATTGCAAATTTGAAACTGTAACTTCATTAATACTAGCCCAGCAAGATACCTCAGTAATACCATAAATATTATAAATTAGTGTATTATTATCAGGATGTTTTGCTTGAAGAAGTAAATCTAACTTAGGAAAGGGTTCTCCTCCTAAAAGAAGGACTCTAAGTGAAGTGTTATTACTTAGAATAGTGGCTTTTAATCTTTCACTTGTCCAATTGTACAAAAAGACAGAAGGTGTCATTTGTAGTACAGAAATTTGACTAGAATAAGCTTCTTCTAAGAATCTGGAAGTAAAAAATGTTTTGCAAGAAAAACTTTTATATAAAAAGAAACACACATTTCTTTATTAGTTATATTCACCTGTTAGTGTTGTTCTTCAATGTTTTTGAAACTATAAATAATGTTGCAGCACATGAAAGAGCAAGAAAAATTTCAATTATACTTGGATCAAATGTAAAATTTGTAAATTGAGCAATTTTATCATATTTCTTAATGTTCAACTTTGTGTTCAAATCTAAAATGTTAGGAACTATAGAAGCATGGGACACTTTAACAACCTTTGGTATACCACTTGAACCAGAAGTAGTAATAGCATAAGCATAATGATTTCCTTTATTATAATGCTTATTTTGTTGTTGAATATCTTTCAACTTCACTAGGTATATACATTCATTATGAATAGTAAACTGCTTTATAACATCTCCCTCAATTATATCTTTAGAAAATAAATAATGTATATACAATATATTTTTCAACTTCGAATACTCTGTTGTGTTAAATGGTATATTGACAAAGCTATGTTTACTAGATAAAATCCTACAAAAAATCAGATAGTAATATATTCTTCTTGGTGTATTCCTCGTTATAAGGTTTTATGTAATTAAATCCCATACCCAAGCATTAAAGAAACCACACAATATTCAGGAACATTAAAATGTATACCAATAAACTCAAAACCTTTTATGGACTGTAACAAATTAGAGAGCATAGTTTTTGCAGCAAGAAGTTCTTTGTAATCTATGTAAATAGTACTATCTAAATCGTGGTATTCTATTACTACATTCTCAATTTCATTCCAATTACAAATATCATGTAACTTTTTTGTGTCATTGGTCGACGTACTACGAGGAAATACATTTTCTTGAACAGTATCTGAAATAATTATTCAACATAACATCATTATCAGTGTATTAAAATTCTTAAGTAATAAAGAATTTATTTACCGTATAGTATATAATTTTCCATTGTTAAGTATTGTGGGATACTGGTTTTTTAATACAAAAACTATTTATTTCCTTTGCCATTTATATTTTTATTGGAATTGAGAACCATTTTAACCCTTGTCACCTAGTCAACATTTTATACACTCAACAGCTTCAACAAAGGTTATGTTGCGTCGTACCTACTTTTTTCTTTATACGTAACATTTTTTTTATTTTTTATATACTAAGGAAAATGATATTAATTAAAGAAGAATTTCAATTTCTGTACAATAAAACTCCTTATTTATTTTTGAAGTTCGCTACTAATTGAAAACCCGTGATGGTAAATTGTACTTATGTTGTTACACATGAAAGGCTTTGCCTTATTTTTAAAAATATAATTAACATATATATATTTTATATATGTATTAATTTGTATCATAAATGACATTGAAATTTTTACTTATATTTCTGTATCTGTTATTCTGTGTATACTTTTTTAACAGTTATATTTGTCTGAATGTGTTCATAAAAGGAAATTAGCAATGACAAAAATTGGACTTAGATATACTATAAGCAGATGAAACAGAATTTGCAGATTTATAATCTTAAATGTTATGCAGATCTATAATCTTTTAAATATTATGCAAATCTAATATTGCACTAAAGTCAATGTAAGAATGATACGGTAATATGAATTTATATTTGTGTAATTCTTATCACACACTGTAAATAGTATTATTAAATGTTATACAAAAATTTAGGATAAATAAACCAATACACATATAATTTTTAATAGTAAGTAGAAACTATGTGGTGCATTAACTGAAAGTTATTTAAATATCGAGGAATCTGTTAAGGAACAATTAAAGCAACTCTTAAAATATACAATTGGTGCATTAGCTTATGAATTTTCAAATATCAAAATGTTCAACACTCTCAAATGTTGATCTACTTTTCTTCACACCACTCATTTTCTTTGCGCACTTGCTCTTCCTCTGCTGCACTAAAGTCATTTTTAATATTAAACGTTTTCCGAATTTCATCGGGTGTTTTGCCTTTTATCATGTTGGCTACTGTTTTGCATGTTACATCTAAAAGTCCTTTAATATCCAGATAATTTGCAGCCAGGATTAATTCAAAGAGTGTACCTTGATCAACCTGTAAATGAATTACGTATAAAATTATATTCAATGCTCTTTGAATCAATTTCAAGGCAGATTTAATTATAACTTATTACAAATGTGCAGTACCTATGATACTAGAAGCTACACCTAATATTATATTAATAATTCAAAAAGAAATGTTGAAAATGAAGGAACCTTTAAGAAATCTGCATCCCAAGAACTGATATCATCTGTTCTTTTCTCTTTGGTTTCTTCATCTTCATGAGGTGGTGGATCATCTTTATGATAGCTTGCCCACTGCAACACTTTCTTAAGAATAGCAGAGTTCACGTTAGGTAGAGGAACAACTTCTTCTTCTTCATCGTCCATGCCAAGATCTTCCAACATGGTTTTTATGGTAACTGAACATTTTGCAATATCTACGTCCACTTCGAAAACTTCTCCATCTGAACTTTGTAACTTAATGTTAGGCATCTAAAAGATATTTTTAATAATCTATTACAAAAAAGAATTTTTTACTATTCATTAAACTGTACAAAATTCTCGAAACTAAAATGGTTGTCAAAATCGAATAAAGTTATCCTTTTACTTTAACATTTCATAGACCCTGAACCCATTAAATAAATATTCGTGTCACTCGAATTTCTATAAATTATGATATAAAAACATTGAATCGGTATAAATATTTACAGCTTACTTCTCGCGGTACCTGCTTATCAACAGAATTACACGTA